CAAAATAACCTCAAACCAGCTGACCATCAAGTGGTTTGATGCTTCATTCCAAGATTTCCACAGAGTTGATGACTAACTAAACTGGATCTAAACTTGTACAAACACCAGAAGGATAAAGGATGCAGTTTAAATAACAATGTAAAAAATCCAAAAAATCAGTTCTCCATTGTTTGGATGCATAAGGAAACTAGCATACTGATTCCAACAAATAACTGAAGGGCAGGACTCTTTACTTGCTTTTGTAAGTGATCAGTTATGAGCTATATAAGCTTTAATTATTATTCTTAATAATCTTGTCTGTTTATCTTGTTCTCTTAGCAAAGGAGTGAATGAAGGAATTGAATGGATGGTGAAGTGTGTGGTGAGGAATATTCACCGACCCCCGAGACAGAAGGACATCACGTAAGAAATTGCAAGTTAGCCAAGGAATGGACACCCTCTTTCCACGCAGTTTCCTGTTCTCTTTAAAGAAGAAGATCCACAGGATTCCTCTTAAACCTGATTCTTTCCTGCATTTGGAGACAAACATTCTCTTTCTGTGTTTAAAAAAAAAAAAAAAAAAAGAAAGAAAAAAACAAACAAACAAGCTTGAGCAAAGATTCTAACTGTGAGGGGGGAAAAAATACCTTGCCTTGTGTATTAAGTCATTGACCTGAGAGCATTGACTTCGTAAAGGCTCCTTGGCAATCCACACTTTGTTGCAGATGCAAAGGACTTAATTTTCTACTGTATTGCTTTGTGATTCTTGCTCTGTTAATCTAACCGGGGCCAGAGGCCAGTGCAGTGAAACTCTCCCTTGAAGGACCTGGGTAGGTGACTCCCAAAGGAGAGGGGAGCCTGTGGGATGGCTGTCCCTTGACCAGAGGTGACATCTCACTGTTCCAGCCCCATGGTCTCTCTGTGGTGTTCCTGGCCATGTTACCCTGTTGCCTGTGTAATGGGAAGAGCCAGTGATGATTATAACTCAGATTTCAGTGGGCACGTTGACTTGTGGTGACTGGTGATAAATGCAGATGTGGAAGCCAGCAGCTGCACAGTGCTAGACTGCCTGTACTGGGTATTCTGAACAGGATACGACCTTCAAAATCACTGCTGTTTTTTACCGTGCAGTCTCTTTAATGGTAAGAATAATTTGTATCTTCTGTAATCAGAGGGAACCGAGGTCCTCTCTGTACTTTCTCTGCTGAAGGCTGAACCTCCAGGCAGGGAGATATCCATATGCAATAAAGCTTCCTACTCCTTTAAGCTTCTCATGCTGAAACAACTGGTGGGTTGTGTAAGTGCAGCAGTGATTGTATTTGGCCTTCCAGTGGTTTTGCAGATACAAGCAAGAAGAAAAAGACAGCTCCAAGCCAAGCAGTCTGCTTCTCATGTGGCTACCAACTGCAATTCAGTTGACATATTAGTAATATTTCTCTGATGATCCTTTTTAAAAAACAAATGGATGTATTTTACAGTGGTTTGGCAATGGTTATTGCTTTCCATATGTTTCAGTCACTCTTGGCCCTGATAGTCATTCTGTGCTGTTTGCTCATACTGTGAAGGGAATGCTTATCCAGCTCAATTTGAGCAAATTAGAAAGCTGTATTTGTTTAAAGAACCATTATTTACCACCTGTCAGAGAAACCTTCTGCTAAACTTTCTGCATGCAACGTACTGCAGATTTTTCCTCATGTGAGGACATAACTCATTCTCTTGCGTGACTGTCAAGGCCCTGGAGTGTTGTAAGTTCATGAGGGCTGTGGAAATGACATGTACCTGGGAGAGCAGAACCTCCCTCCTCAGCAACGCCAGGAGAGGGCTGGGCCCGCGGCCACCTGGGGTGACTTTGGGGCAGTCTGTGCTTCCCTGGTGTGAGTTCTGTGTGTCAATCAGCGCCCTGGGAGAAGGTATCTGGATGCTGCGGGAAAGACCCTCACAGTAATCCGTGCATAAATGCCACCTAAATCTCCTTTAACATTGACTTTTTCTTCTTTGAATGGAGCTGGTTACATGCAATGACTGTGTGATCTGCCTGTTAGCAGTGGGAATTATTTTTTTAATTTATTTTTGTACTATAATAATCCACAAAAGGTGAAGTCAATGCCAGCTCTTACACTTGGCTCTGGGGCAGGCAGAATTCTGGAAGCTTGTGGTAAAGGCAGCTATGAAGCGATTCCAACAGAAGCAGCCGGTGTGTCTTAAAAGCATTATCAAAGGTAACACTAAAGAGAAGAAAAACAAGATGAAGCAGAAAAGAGCAGGTCTTGGATGGCCTTTGCTGATGCCTTTGCTGTGTACGTTCTGCGAAAGGAGCCCAGATGAAGTAACTGCCTCTTTAATCCTAGTGACAAAGACCATTTAAGTGTGGAAGAAAAGGGAAAAGCTGCTCTTTGTACTTGTGCGCGTTGAAAACCAGGGGATTCTCGGAGAGGCTCTTAATCAGTGGGAATGTTGGAAACCAGAACCTGCAAACAGATAGTTGGAGAATCTCAGAGCTGCCCCTTTGGCAGCTTTCCTGGGAGCGGGGAGGTGGTTGGTGAAATCATTCCAATATCTGATAGGGACTGCTTGCTGTTACTTGCTATTCCGGAGTGGATGGTATAATGTGGCGTCTGAGGCTGAGTTTGGATGGTGCTAACATCAGCACCGCATCCCCAAAAAATCAGCTGCAGTGGATGTAACCCCCAGAAACAGAGATCTCTTTAGGCACCTTTGAGCCTAGTGACCTGCAGCCTGTTTCTTACTCGCTCTGTGGGTGCAGAGGATCCCTTGAAGATTAGTCAGGTACTGTAAAAATCAGGTTTTTTCCAGGGCCTGCATGTGGTCCCCACCTGAGACTGTCACCTTGTAACAGCCGCGTGAGCAGTGGCCATTAATTGTAGGGGAAATGTCCTTCACTTGGCCGTCTCGATGTCTGAGAGTTTTGTGCCTCGTCAAGTGCTTTGCTGAAAGGCACAAATGCTTTAGCCGAGTAATGTGAAATGTCAAATGGGATGCCAGGGGTTTTCCAGGCTTTCCACACGCTTCTCAAATCTCTTCCTCCCCCTATTCCCTACGAGACCAGAGGGGTGAAACGGTTTCGAGCTCGAGGCCGTAGCTGTTCTCAGGAGTGTCTAGACACAAAGGCTGAAGTGACTGTGCTTTGTGGAGCGCATCAGCAGGAGTGCTTAAATAAAAGCAAACGGACGGGCTTAAAAATTCCACGCACTCAAGCGTGGGAAGCTGAGACTTTCTCGTCTCCTTTATTCCTTTGCAAAATTACCCTAATGTGTCACCCAGGAGCGCCAAGGCGCCCGCTCTCCTTCACAGCAGGGATGTTGACAAGGCCTTGGGGTGCAGCAGTGCTTTACATAACCAAATCCCTCTCCCAGGAGCCTTAGTCAAGGACCTGGCCCTGGGAAGCTGCAGGGCTAAATGAGCGTGGGATTTCACTGCAGTTCACAGCTGCAGGTGGGTTTATGGGCATCGCATTTGTTGCCAGTTAAGGCTCTAATAGTATTAAAGCCAAAGACTTTTTGTACAGACAGTGATTTCTCCCTGTTGTTGAAATGCACAAAATCCATCTCCCGCTTTTCTTAATACATGATTCTACCTATAAGCAGCCTTACAAGGTCGGCAGTGCAATAAGAAAACATCCAGCTCGCCGACTCTGCCACGTGGTGTGATCAGGCAAGT